TATCTATCTATCTATCTATCTATCTATCTATCTATCTATCTATCTATCTATCTATCTATCTATCTATCTAGACAGTTTATTTGTAATGTTGGCTGCCCTGGAACTCACTGTGTAGACCAGGATGGATTCAGAGATCTACCTCACTCTGAATCCTGAATGCTAGGATTAAAGCCATGTGCCAATCCTGGCTTGCCTTAGTGTTGAAGGGTTATTAATATTTAATATTGATTTATATTTTAGATAAGCAGTGGTTATTCCCTAACCAGCTATATACCCAAATAACCATACAGAAAGACTAGGATTTATTTAATTAGCCTAGAACACAATGTTGCACAATAATTACTCCATCCTAAACCTCCAAGCTAGTATAGTTTCCTCCCGTTCAGGTTTTCCACATTATTCTTGCTTTTTAATTATATCCTAGGTCTGGCTCATTTATCTCGATGTTTTCTCATCCTCTCCTCAGGGATCCATCCATCCTGTTGTTTCTCTTCTCCTCATGGGACCAGAATGTCCCTCCCTATTCTCTGTATTGTTCAGCATTGGCTAGTTGGCTTTTATTGACAATACAGAGAACAAATGGTGCCATGTTTACACAAATGCAATGTCTGGTAGAGAAATCGGCATTTGAATGAACAAGGGTGAGCTGTACACAGTCCACAAGAACGTTATGCCACCACCTTAGTTTTATTTTTAAGATTATTAATATTTATTTACTTATTTTATGTGCATTGGTGTTTTGCTTGTCTGTATGTTTGTGTGAGGGTGTCAGATCTTCTGGAACTGGAGTTTCAGACGCTGTGAGTTGCCATGTGGGTGCTGGGAATGAATTGAACCTAGGTTCATTGGAAGAGCAGCCATCTCTCCAGCCCTGATTTACTTGTTTCCTTATGGCATATGTATGTCCTCATGGGAACACCGTTGGAGTCCAAGGACAGCTTGTGAGCATTTGTTCTTTCCTACCTTGTGGGTCCCTGAGATGCATCAGGCTAGGTACCTTTCCTCATGAGCCATTTTATTTATTTGTGTTTTGTTTTGTTTTGTTTTGAGATAGGGTCTTTCTCTGTAGCACTGGCTGGCCTGGAAATCCCTGTATATATCAGGCTGGCATAGAACTCACAGAGATCCTTCTGCTTCTGCCTCAAGAATGCTGGGATCAAAGGGTTGGGACCCCACGCCTAGCTTGTTGGGTTTGATTGTTTATTTGTTGACCAAGTAACCCTGGCTGGTCTGAAACTCACTATGTTGACCAGCCTGGCCTTGAACTTGTACCTGTACCTCCTTAGTTCTCAGTCCTTGAATTGTAAATGTTTATCCCTTCATCCCCTGCTTATTACTTGTTATTAATCACATTTTCCTCCTTCCTTGAAACTTTGTAATGATCCTGAGAACATGTATGTACCAGGTGCTTGATTTCTCTTTCATGATAATATTCTTTTCAGAGTGGTGGTACAGAATGAGAGAAGGGAAGAGTGGACTTCGCTCCTTGTGACCATTAAAAAACTCTTTATCCAGTATCCAGTGTTGGTGCGACTGGAACATGCAGGTACTGCATCCATGTGTCAGATATGCCTTCTTGTTTTTTTTGTTTGTTTGTTTTGGGAAATTGTGTTCAAGACATGGTTTCTCTGTGTAGCCTTGGCTGTCCTGGAACTCACTCAGTAAACCAGCTGGCTTGGAACTCAGAGATGCTCTGCCTCCTGAGTGGTGGGATTTAAGGCATGTACCACTATGACCTGCTCTCTTTTTAGTTTTCAAGAGCTCATCTTTCCTGAAGTGTTTTCCCTTGTCTTGTATCTTTTGCTTCAGGGGGCTTTCCTCAAGGAGACAATTCTACCTCAGCACAAGGAAACTACCTAGAGGCCATCAACTTGTCTTTCAATGGTGAGTAAGAGCACAGTAAGCTGACCTCGTGCTTCCTATGTGGCTCATAGACTCAGACCTGGTGGCTCTCTTCTCATTGACACTTCGGATTTACTCAAGGCAGTACATTCTAATTGGATGGTAGCAATGACTGCTCTTTGGCTTGTGGGCCTTCTGTTGGGGAATCAGCTTAGTGTTTTCATCTGCCTCTATGGTAATGAGCTGGCCAGATTCCTGCTCGGCTGCTTGTTTTACTACAGATTATGATTTTATTTATCACACCATCCTTCAGCTGATTTTAGGTAATTTTTTTAAACTCTGCTTTTTAAAAGAAAATACATATTTTTGGGGTTTGGAGCCTGCAGTAGGAAAGTCATAAGTATGAAGATATAGAGAATGTGAGCCACTAGGGAGATGCTGTCTCAAAAGCAAAAACAAAAACAAGGGCTCTGTGAGATGATTTAGTGGGCAAAGGTGCCTGATGCCAAGTTGAGGTCCTGAGCTCTGAGATCATAGGAGAGAGATGACTCCTGCAGGTTGTCCTCCATGTGCACACAGTAGCTCCCTCCCATACATGCGCACACAAAATAAAATGCAATAAAAAAGTGAAAAACCAAGCCACAAAAGGTGCATATGCTAGATTCTTAGAATTTAAGTGGAGAAGGGGATACTAAGTAGAAACAAGGCACTCCTCAGTCCTGTTGGAAGAAGAGCCAGTTTCTGGCTGTGGTTTGATTTCTTCCTAAGGCTTCCCTGCGTTTATGAGGCAGCTGAGATACTTTTATTTGCCAACTGAAAAGGAAACTTAAAGATTTAGGTAGCTCTTTTCATTGAAGATGGAGACCTTGGTGGCTCTGAGAAACACAGCAGTAGGAATTCCTGGAGCCATATTCAGTCCCCAATGACCCTGTCTCTGCTGTGTTTGGAATTCCACTCATGCTCTTGAAAAGACTGATAAGGCCAGCTCCAGGTGGCCATTAGCAGCACTGGCAGGAGGTGGAAGTGCTGCTGTGTTTTCACTTCATCATATTGCCTTCCATGAGTCTGTGTCCAGGTGCTAGGGAATTCTAGAATATGGTGTAGTTTATTACTGCTCTTTTTGTCACATTTGAATTTTGAAGATTTTTCATAGTAATAATTAGTTCAGGAATAAAAATTTGTTTGTTAAATTCACATGACTTAAAAGCTATTGATCTGTTTTCTTACAAACTGTTAAATTGATATTTGAGGGCTGGTGAGATGGCTCAGTGGACAAAGGTGCTTCTCTCTCAACCTGATGTCCTGAGTTTAGTCCGTTGAATGTGGACATGGTGAAAGGAGGGGACAAACTTCCACAAGTTGTCCTCTGACCTCTACATGTACACTGTGGCACTTGAATGTACACACAATAAACAAACAAATACGTGTAAAGTATCATATTTGATTCTTGGAGGTTTTGGTAGAGACTTGTTGACAGATGTTGTAAGTTTATGACATAAAATTAAGCACTTAAATCTGTATAGGCAAGTATTGGACATCAGTGAGGATGATTGATAAAGGGTAACATGAAAGTCTTGCTACTAAGGCATTGCTGAAGCAGAAGGGTAAATGTACGCATGACTTGGTAGATTCCAGGATGTGCTGGTAGATATGACTAGAATGTGTATCAAGTGCTCTGAAAGCACAGAGATGCTTGTGTGTGTTGGCTTCTGAGAAGCTGTGACATCATCACTGTGGGGAATTTTTGTTTTCTTTTAAGTGTTTGACAAGCACTACATCAACCGAAACTTTGACCGAACTGGGCAGATGTCTGTGGTGATCACGCCTGGAGTGGGTGTCTTTGAAGTGGACCGCCTACTCATGATCTTGACCAAGCAGCGGATGATTGATAATGGTAACAGTCATTGGTTTCTGCTGTCTCCCTGTGTTCTCAGCCTGAGTTGTCCTAGAACTGAGTTTTCATTGTCTTCTTAGATTATGAAGGGCTTTGCAAGGGGGTCAGGGGTGTCACTAGATTCTGAATAGTGGAGGCCTTGCTTGTCTTTTTACAGATCTTCTGGGTAATCAGTAGTAATCTTCTGGGTAATCATAGTAGAGAAAACAGAAAGTGCATGCGTGTCTTTCCTGTGCAGGAGCAATGACGAGCTTATAACTTTCAGCACAGCAAGTCAGCTTTGCCTTATACTGAGTTTAGTGATGCCGTTCACAGACTGGAGTACTTACCTGTTGTCCTCTTCCCACCTTTCTCACTCTTCCCTCTTTAGGAATTGGTGTGGATTTAGTGTGCATGGGAGAGCAACCCTTACATGCTGTGCCGTTATTCAAGGTAATAGAATTTAGATCCTTCTGAAAGACCAGATGAAGAATAATTAAATAGAAAAGCTGGAGCATTTCATAGCCAGCTTGTTTTCTAGCTTCTCTGCCCTGGCATTTCTCTTGTAGCTACACAACCGGAGTGTACCGAGGGATTCTCGGCTGGGTGACGATTATAATATTCCTCACTGGATAAACCACAGGTAGGTATGATCTTGAGTGAAAGATAAATATTTTGAATAGTTTTCTTAGTATTGGCTCTTTAAATTTGTTATTGTTTTGTTTTTTGAGATGGTCTCTTTGTTGCCAACTCTCAAACTCACGACAGTCCTACCTCAGCCTCCTGAATGCCTGGATCATATTCTGAGCTGTTCAAACCTGCCTGCCTACCTGCCTTATTATTTATTATTTATTTACTCATTCATTCATTTGCCTATTTATTTATTTGTTGGTTGGTTGCTTGGTTGCTTGGTTGTATTCTGAGCCACCCGAACCTGCCTGCCTGTCTTATTATTCATTTATTTATTCATTCATTTATTTGTTGGTTGTACTGGGGTCATCCCAAGGCTTGGGATTTTCTTCTTAATATTTAGTTTTATTTCTATGTGTGCATATATCATTTGTATATGGGTGCGCACAAAGGCCAGACAAAAGTGTTGGATCATGTGCAGCTAGAATTACAGGTGGTTGAACCTGATGTGGGTTCTGGGACCAAACTCAGGTCCTCTGAAGCACCGAGCCATCTCTCCAGCCTGCGTAGTAGGAATTGCTCTCCCACAGCTATAGAGAATCACTTTCTTAGACCATTATTTTCTTCCTTCTTTACTTTTGTTCCTAAGTAACAAAATACTTTGTATAGTCTTAGTTTGAAGCTCAAGATGTAGAAGTAAAAAAGTGTTAGTGTTCTTCTCTGCAAGACGTGAAAAGCCAGCATCCTGGGGCTCTGGAGACAAAAGCCTTTAAACCACTGTTCTCTATGTGCTTATCTGCTTCTTCAAGAGGTCTTGATAAGGACTAATGCAGTTGATGCCTGCAGCCTCATCTCCTGCCACCATTTTCCCTTTCTTGATACCCTCCTCTTATCCTCAGATCTGGGCCTCAGGCTTGTCATTTCCTTCAAGAGCCAGCTCAAATCCCTGTCCTGTGACTCCCCAACAGCCAGAATATGCTTTTTTCTCTGGTGCTTCCTGTTCTCTGTGCTACTGGTCATATGCTGGGCTGCATGAGGAGAGACTGCTTGCCTTATTTATGCCTCCAGCTCAATAGAACCTTCTGTTTTAGCTTTTATAGCATATTTTTGACAATTTCTTTTTAAACTTATTTATGCGTGTGCATGTCTGCACACTCAATGGCACTCTTGTGGAGGTCAGAGGAAAATTTGTAAGACTTGGTTCTTTCCGTCCTTTCACCGTGTAGTTAGTTCCTGGAGATCAAACTCAGGTCGTCAGGCTTGTTAGCAGGCACCTTTACTTAACACTGAGCAATCTTGCTGATCCTGTGTCTGTAGTATTTAAGTTGATAATATATGCTAGAAAGCAGCTTGGAAACCCATTACAAATACAGGTGTTAGCCTTGCTTATGTGTCTTTTATCGTTGTCATGAGCTGTATTTCTATTGGTACAATGATTGTTGTTGGTCACCTATAATTATTCATAGGTAAAGAACCAGAAATGAACAAGGATTACCTATTTAGCCACTACAATTATCCTGTTCAAATACCTTTTTCTTCTCCAAGAGCCCTTGAAATATTATGTGGCTGGTTTTCCATAGTCTTTCTTTAGGTTAATGTATGACATTTGGTTTGGGGTTTTTTTTGTTTGTTTGTTTTTTGTTTTTTTGACACAGGGTCTTGCTATGTAGCCAACCTGGTCTCAAACTTTTGATTGTCCTACTTCAGCAGTTTTTCTTAAAGGTATAAGCCACCACATCCAGCCACACAATATCACACTTAAAAAACAAAAAACTTTATTTATATGGGTCTTTTGCCTGTGTGTATATGTACCACATACTTGCCTCATGTCCCCAGAGGTCAGAAGAGGGCATTAAGTCCCCTGAAACTGGAGTTACATGTGTGAGTTATCACGTGGGAACTAGGAATCAAACCTGGATGTTTTGGAAGAACAGTCAGTGCTGTTAATCCCCGAGCCATCTCTCCAGCCCCCCCCCCCCCCTTTTTTTTTATCTTTGGCTCTAAGGGAAGAAAAAAAAAATTAGAAATTAAAAAAAGATTGATTGGCTATGTGTTAGGAAGATGCACAGAAAGATCCAGAAAACCCCTCAATTCTGTTTTTAGGGTCCTAAAGTGAGATCAGAATTTAAATAGAAGACCGAGGATGTGCACATCAGAACAATGCTGATCAAGATGTGGTCCTACCCACCACTGACCCATCACTGACTGGGTTTCTGTCACATCCTATAGGAGGTTTCATAGATTGTAGAACTGTGTGAACTCTCTTTCCAGAAGACCAGTCCCATACTGGCCAAGCAGCCTTTCCTTCTCCAGCATGAAATTTCTGGGGAATTCCCATTTCTTTAAGGCCCATTGCTTCAATAGTCTCATAGGTTGAAGACACAAGTGTCTCTTTAGAATAATTTCATTTCTGCCAGTCCAGTTACAACAGCAAGTACCTTTGTCTCCTGAGCCATTTTGCTGACCCTTTTATTTGTAACTTTTTAATGCATTTAGATTCGGTTTTCAATTAAAAATCACAATTGTTTAATTATACCATAGTTCATGGTTTTTACTTTAGTTCAGGAAAGGTAAAAAGTAACTATAGAATATATAGAAATATATGTAGTCCAATCAAAGTTCCGTATTTTTAGAAATTTTATTTTTGTAGTAACTTGGAAGATTCCCTAGTTACCCTATTTTATTTTCACCCTGCACTGGCAGCTTTCTGTGCCATTATGATGCAGGATAGAACCACACATCAAGGACTTTGTTTTGTGTTTTTGAGACAGAGTTTCTCTGTGTAGTCTTGGCTATCCTGAATTTGCTTTGTAGACCAGGTTGGCCTTGTACTCACAGAGATCCGCCTGCCTCTGCCTCCCAGAGTGCTGGGATCACAAGGTGTGCACCACCAAGCCCTGCTACATGAAGGACTTTTAAAGCTGACAATTTGGAGGGACTGATACCTGCTTCTCACATTTTATTGTTAGCCTTGCCAAAACAAACAAACAAACCCTAGAATCCTAATGAAAATTGTGATTTTAGATTATTTGTAGCTCTGAAAATTAGCATTTCATGATTCAACTTAATAGAAATTAATTTTTCTGTCTCACATTATTTTGTAACTCATGTCTCTGGTGTGTGTGTGTGTGTGTGTGTGTGTGTGTGTGTGTGTGTGTGTGGGAGTACTTGTATATGTCAGTGTGAACACATTAATAACAGCCTCAGAATACCCAGAATGTGTCAGTGTTGAGTTGAGAATAATAAATTAAAAAGCGCTTTCCCTTGGTGTAATTTGAGCAAGGTTGAGCTAAGATTGGAATTCTGTTTTCCTGTGTCTTCTGTAGTTTTCTGTTTGTTGTAAGAGTCCAAATTTGTGCCTGTTGAATGCTGTCTTGCATATCCTCTTGGGTGTGTGTTTCTTTGTGTTCTTAACAAAATACTTTGCTTTCTCTTTTATTGAGCAGCATGAAATGCATCACATGGGGAAGGGATGAGGGATACTTTGCAGAAATGTTTAACAGAATTTTATAGGAGAGTCTAACTGACCCAGATAACAAGCAAACAAATGCTATCAAGCAATATTTGTATGTTGTCTTCAACGTTTATGGTGGATATTCATTCATTTTATAAGGTTGCTTTCAACCTTCTGGCATGTATTACCATCACACACATATACACATGCATTGTTTATGGGTCAGGGCAAGGAAGAATACACAAATTTAAGATTACAGTTTAGCTTTTAAAGGTTCTGCAGAGCCCTGGCTGTCCTGGAGCTGCCTCTGCTCCCCTAGTACTGAGATTAAAGACATGCACCACCATGCCCCTCGATACATTGTTCTCCTAAAGACAGTCTTGAGTGTCTTCAAAGTGTATTATTAACTCTGGCTGGGAGATCCAGCAAAAGTTCCAGCCTTAGAATGTGAGATATTTTTATCGTAATTGTATACATGTGTATGGGCTGTGTGTACATGTATACATATGTACATACTTGTAGAGGGCAGATGGCAACCTTCTATGTCTTTCTGCTGGTATCATTCACTTTGAATTTTTGAGACAGTCTCTCTCACTGTCCTGGAGCTTTCCCAGGTAGGCTAGGTAGCCAGCCTGTGAGCCATAGGAATCTACCTGTGTCTTTCTTCCCTGTGCGAGTACATAGCACTGAGCCTGGCTTTTTCACATGGGTTCTGGAGAATGAGCCAAGGTCCTCATGCTTGCATGATGGGGACTTTACTGCCTAAGATATGTCCTCAGCCATTTCTTTTTTTCTTGAGACGCAGTCTTGCTGTGGACCTACTTCTGCTTCAGCCTTCCCCGTGCTCGAATAATGGACATCTGCCACCATGCCAGCTTTCTACCCCTATCGGTTGTTTTTGTTTTTGTTTTTTGAGACAGGGTTTCTCTGTGTTCTATTCATATCTTTTACTCTTGATGTCTGAGAAGAAAACAGCAACTTCTACTTAGTTTTATCCTTTAGACTTCTGGGAGAAATCAAGTTCCAGGGGTTGGCTGGATGTCCAATAGCAAGTTCTCATATGATGCTCTTGTGTTCTTATGGGCTTAGTGTACCATAAAATTGTCCCCGTGACCTGTCAGTTACCTGTGGATGTTGCTGCTGCTGTTGTTGTGTTTTGTTGTTGTTTTGTTTTTGAGACCACTGTGGTTGTCCTGGAACTCATCATATAGACCAGTATTTGAGCCCACAGAGATATACCTTTCCCTGTTTCCCAAGTGTTAGATTAAGGGTGTGTGCCTCCGTACCTGGCTTCATTTTTATTTTTTTATTTGTTTGTAGTCAGAGATTTTCTAGAAGGTAGAATTAACAACGATCCAAACATTTGCAAATTTATGACTGAGAATATAAGAAAGTCCAAGGTCCCTGAGGAATGGGAAGGCAGTACAGCTTCTATGTGTTCATTCAGCACTCTGGTGTGAGGCTGTCTCCAGTTAACATGGGTTCATGACATGGTTGTACCATGATTTTTAGAGGGATTGGGATTCAATGGGATCAGCTTTTTTTTTTTTTTTTTTTTTTTTGAGGTCTAACCTTTTTTCTGTTTTTTTTTTTTTTGTTTGTTTGTTAATAAGAACTTCCTGTGGACCTAACAGTGTACCAAACATCAGGGTGAAAGTATCCTGATATAAAGAGGTGTTTTATTTGTTTGTTTGTTTGTTTTTGGTTTTTTGTCACTTCCCTTCCTGACATAGATGATTCTGATTTAGTTAGCAGTTAGACTCATGTACACTAAACAGTGGGGAGAAAAGGCCAGAGCAACAGTTGAAATCATTCCTAATGTTGAAGTTAGAATTTTCAAGACAGGGTTTCTTTGTGTAGTTTTGCCTGTCCTGCAGTCTTTTGAACGCTTTGTAGACTGGGCTTGTCTTGAACTCACAGCTGTCCACCTGTCTCTGCCTCTCTGAGTGCTGGGATTAAGGGTGTGCACCATCACATCGGCATCACCAACAAAGTCTCACTCTATAGCCTTGGCTGGCTATACTTACTGAGCCATCTCACTGGCTAGAACTGGGAAGATTTGTGAACCTAAAACAAAGCCAAGCACAGGTGAGCTTATCCTACCTGGAGTGCAGCTTGTCTTAAGGTTTAGTAATGAAGCTGGGTAGAGTAGTACACATTTTTAGTCCCAGCACTCGGGACACAGAGGCAGGCAGATCTGAGTTTGAGGACAGCTAGGGCTACACAGAAAAACCCTGTCTCAAAAAAAACAAAACAATAAAAAATTGGGGCTGGAGAGATAGCTTATTGGTTAAGAGTACTGACTGCCCTTCTAGAGGACTGAGGTTCAATTCCCTGCACCCACATGGTAGCTCATCACTGTCTATGGATCTGACTCCCTCACACAGACATATATGCAGGCCAAACACCACTTGCACATAAGAATAAATAAATGAATTATAGATTAATTACCTTTTTATTTTTTTAACAGTTTCTACACATCCAAAAGCCAGCTTTTCTGTAACAGTTTCACTCCACGAATAAAACTGGCAGGAAAGAAGGTATGTTTTCCCAATCTGAACAACTTTCAGGGGCTGTCACACAGGTTTGTGTTTATTCTGATCTTGAAGTACTATCACCTACCCTCTGCCCTGGCTAATTTCAGAAATGGGGTTTAAAAAATTTTGTGTTGAAACTTTAAGGAGGAGCTGGGGCTATAGCCTATGCAGAACCCTTTCACAAGCATGCATAAGGCCCTATATTTAGTCCTCAGATGGAAAGCAGGATGGCTGCCTGATAAGTATTAAAATCATGACAAAGTTGAGGGGGGAAAGTATTTCATTTTGATGTGAATGGTTTAATTTGGATACTGAGGCCACTGTTATTGAGACAAGGAAAGACAAGAATACACATTGCAGCAAAGGAAAAATAACAACTTTGAAAGGTAATATTGTAGTAGTAAGTAAATAGAAATTCAAATGTGCCCCCCCCAACACAAAATGTGCTGATAATCACGCCAGATACTAGGAAAAGTAACAACGTTGGTAACTGAGTTCCTGGTTGGTACTTGGCAAATCAGGTCAGCCGTGTGTGAGATGACTTGTGAACGTTTATGCTGTTCTGTGTTGCTTGATCATTATAAAAATCATTTCTGATCATTGGTGTGGGAGATTTGAAAGTCATTAGAAACCCTTTTAAAAGTGATAGCCCAGTCAAGTTGGTGGCACATTTCTTTAGTTCAGCACTCAGAAGGTGGAGGCAGGTGGATCTCTGTGAGCCTGAGGCTAGCCTGGTCTATATAGGAAGTTTCAAATCCATCAGGCCTACAAATCCTAAATCATAGTCCATTGAGGAAACCACTCAAATTGGGTGGGAACTTGGAGGCCTGGAGTTACAGAAGAAAGCTGCTACTGGCTGCTCTTTAATGGCTTGCTCAGCCTGCTTTCTTATACAGGACCACTAGCCCAGGATGGGAAGTCAGAAAAGGCAGCATTTTCTCAATCAAGGCTCCTTCCTTCCAGATGACTCTAGCTTGTGTCGAGTTGACATAAAATCAGCCAACACACGCCTCTATCCAGTTTAGTCTGTGCCCCATGTGGATAAGGTTGTGTGAGTAAATACGATGCAAGGTGGAAACTGAAAGACTTGGCTTGACACCGCGGCAGGCAGGTGTCAGGGGTTAGCACCCACTTTTCGTAAGTTACTACATAGCTGGGACCTGGTCTTTGCCCTGGGGAGTAGCACCTAACATATTGTGTTAAGTTTAGTTCTAGCTGAGGAATGATAAAATATCTATTTAATTTTTCAGTCTGCTTCTGAGAAAACCAAAAATGGCCGTGATACTTGTGAGTATTTTGAGACATTTTTTCGTAGCTAATTCATGGCAACAAAATAATATAAAATATCATAAAAGGTTTATGTAAAGGGCAAGATACCCAATGTCTTATGTTCCTTATGTCACCTTTGGAAGGTCCTCAGCCGCCTTGTAGCTGTAGCTTGTAAGCTGCAGTGGTGGTCAGGTCTGGGCTCTGGTGGAAAGTCACAGAGGACTGGCGATGTTCAGCCAGTACTAGTCAGAACTCCAGAGGACTGAAGTGCTGCTAATGTTGCCTTCTGACTCTGCTTTTTTTTTTTTTTTCTGAGAGAGGGGGTTTATCTGTGTGCCCCTGACTATCCTGGAGCTCTCTCTGTAAACCAGGCTGGCCTTGAACTCAGAGAGGTCCACCTGCCTCTGCTGCCGGAGTGCTGGGAGTAAAGGCACACACCTCCAGGGCGCAGCCACTCTATACTGTTGAAACATCACTTTGATGTTTATGTCAGTCCTAACCCGACACTTGGGTTATTATTCCATCTTTTTCTTGGTAGATGATCTCCTGTGCCTCGCAGATTTGGATGGCCCTCTGTAGGTCGTCCCTGTAGGTGTCTAATTGATGCTTATAGTATCTGTTAGAAGTGTGTTTTAATTGTGTTGTTTGTGTTTCTGCAGCTCTTGGGACCCCAAAGGAATCTGAGAATACCCTTCCCATCCAAGTAGATTATGATGCCTATGATGCTCAAGTGTTCCGGCTGCCTGGTCCATCCCGGGCTCAGCGCCTCGCCACCTGCAGGTTTTTTATCAGGTTCCCCCAGGGGGTGGGGGAGACATGGTGGCATAGGCCTGTAACCTAGGACTCAGAAGGCACAGGTGGTAGGATTTCAAGTTCAAAGCCAGCCTCAGTTATATAGTGAGACTGTATTTCAGGAAAAAAAAAAAGATTGGCTAAGAAAACCTGAGAGGGGTTGGGGAAATGGTTCAGCCGTTAACAGGACTGGCTACTCTTTCAGTGGGCCTAGGTTCAATTCCCAACACCCGCATAGCCGCTCACAACTCTCTGTAACTCATGTTCCAGAGGATCTGACCCCTCACACATGCAGGCAAAACACCAATGTACATAAAATAAAAATAAATAAATTGAAAGGAAAACCTCAGGTCTATTTACTTTGGCAGCACATATACTAAAATTAGAACCATACAGAGATGGTTAGCAAGGCCCCTATTCAAGGATGACATGCATATTCATGAAGCATTCCATGTTTTTTATTCCAGCATTTGTTTATATTAAAACAGACTTCTCTAAGACAAAAAAGAAAACCTGAGAGGCCTTTATGAAAGCAACCTTAAGAATATTTAAATTGGAGCTAGAGAGATGGCTCAGTGGTTAAGAGCACTTGTTGCTCTTTCAGAGGACCCAGTGCACAATTGTGTAGATTTGGGAAGGTTCTAGAAGATCCAAAGTTCTCTTCAGACCTTCATGGGCACCAGGCAAACATATGGTGCACCTACACACATCCGGGTATGACATGTATGTACATGCATGAAATAAGTCTTACAAAACATTGTTTTAAAAGTTTTAAAATTAGCCTTAGGAAAGCCATGTTGTAGAAATCGTTGGGGATTCCATTTGTTGTGAAGTATTATCTCAAAATACAGGAAGATTCTCAGACATTCTGTAGCTAAGAGATACAGTTCACAAAGTATGGGTTTTTCTTCAGTGGACACCGATACTGCACAGGTAGTGCCTACTGAATCCTGAAGAGGGGGTTGGGTCTTCTGGAACTTACAGACTATTGTGAGCCCAACTGACATGGGTGTTAGGAATGGGACTTGGGTCTTCTGCAAGAGTAGCAAGTGTTCTTAACTACTGGTCCATCTCTTCAGCTCAACTTCAGTATACATTTTTAGCAAATGACTTTTTTTTTGAGACAGGATTTCTTTGTATAGTCCTTGCTGTTTTAGAACTCACTCAGTAAAACAAGCTAGCCTTGGATTCAGTCAGACTTTTGAGTTCTGACTGCTTCTGCTGGGATTAAAGGTGTATGCCACCACCACCTGGCCAAATAATTTTTTTTGTAGGGGCTGGAGAGGTAGTTTATCAGTTGAGAGCACATTCTGCTCTTCCAAAGGACCTGAGTTCAGTTCCCAGCACCGACATTGACCTCACAGTCTTCCTGTAACTCCAGCTGAGGGGAATCCAATCCAGGCATGTGTGGTCACATGTATATACCCTTAAACAGACAAACATACATAATAAAAATAATAAAATCCTCTTTTTTTTTTAATGGAGAATTTTTTTTTCAAAAAATATTTTTTTTTATAATTTATTCACTTTATATCCTGATGTTAGCTCCCTCCCTTATCTCCCAGTCCTACCATCCTTTCCTCTTCTCCCCTTCTCCCCCTCCCCTAGTCCACTGAAAGGGGGGGCGATCTTCTCCCCTGCCACCTGATCCTAGCTTATCAAGTCTCATCAGGACTGCCTGGATCCTTTTCTGTGGGCTGGCAAAGTCATCTAATGGGGGTGAGGGGAGTGATCAAAAAGCAGGCAACCAAGTTCATGTCAGAGACAGCCCCTGCTCCCCTTATTAGGGAACCACATGGGGACTAAGCTGCCTATAGGCTACATCTGAGCAGGGCGTCTAGTTCCTCTCCATATATGATCCTTGGTTGGTGCATCAGTCTGTTGGCCCCCATGGGTCCAGAGTATTTTGGTTTTGTTGTTCCTTGTGGAACTAGAAAAGGTCTTCCTGAGTGAGGTAACCCAGAAACAGAAAGACGCTCATGGTATATACTCACTTATAAGTGATACTAGCCATATAATATAAGATAAACATACTAAAATCTATAGACCTAAAGAAGCTAAACAACAAGGAGGACCTTAGGGAGGATGCTTAATTTTCATTCAGAATGGCAAACAGGATAGACATCAGAAGCAGCAGAAGAGAGGGTACAGGACGGGAGCCTACAATAGATGTCCTCTGAAAGACTGCACCCAGCCGGGGATCAAAGCAGATGCAGAGACTCACAGCCAAACTTTGGGCAGAGTGCAGGGAGTCTTTTGAAAGAAGGGGGGCATAGAAGGATCCAGAGAGGAGAGGAGCTCCATAAAAAGTCTTTTTTATTTTATTTTTTCAATTTTTTGAGATAGGGTTTCTTTGTGCATAGCCTTGGCTGTCCTGGAACTCACTCTATATAGACCAGCCTGGCCTTGAACTCACAGAGATCCACATACCTCTGCCTCCCAAGTGCTGAGATTAAAGGCCCATGCCACCACCGCCCCACATTTTATTTTGTTTTGTTTTGTTTTGATACAGAATCTATTCTATAGCTCATGGATTCACTGTGTAGCCTATGATGGCCTTGAATCATGGTATCCTCCCTTCCTCAACCTCCCAATTACCAGGATTACATATAAACCACCTTGCCCCTGCCTTTTTCCCACTTTAAGACAAAGTCTTACTCTGTTGTCTAAGCTAGCATCATTTTTCACATTGGGAGTTTTGATAACTGATTCCCTGAGTATGTGCAGCTGATGGTCGTCATTGACATCTTAACTAAAGGTCGAAGTGTCCTTTTCATGGTGGTCATTTGTGTCTTGCATGTCAGGTCTGTGAGAGAGCAGGAGAATCACAGTCGCAGAAGTGCCAGCTCCTGTGATGTCTCATCCAGCCCTTCCCTGCCAAGCCGTGCACTGCCCACTGAGGAAGTGAGGAGCCAGGCCTCTGATGACAGCTCCCTCGGCAAGAGCACCAACATCCTGATGATCCCTAACCCCCACCTGCACCAGTATGAAGTCAGCAGCTCATTGGGCTACACCAGCACCCGAGGTCAGTGTGCTGAAGCAGACAGCTGGGGAGGCCTGCAGGTGGTTTCTTTGCAGTGGGGAGGAATGGGAGTGGCAGGAAGTGAGTGTATGTCTCTTCTTTTAGTCATTTCCAAGCCAGCCAGTGGCTAACAGTCATATTAGGTATTGCATGTATATTAAAATATTTTTGTCCATTTTTTGTTATTTTCTCATTATCTCCATTTGTACCATACTTAAAAAACTGTGACCTCTGTAATTGGCTGTGTATATTTATGCCTTTTCTTTGAGGTAGTGGAGATTAAATTCAGGGCAAGTGCCATACCATTGGGTTATATCCCAGGGTTGTTTAATAAGTTGCCCAGGCTGGACTTGAATTTTCTCAATAGCACAAATAGTCCTTGAACCTGCCATCCTTCTGCCTCAGCCTTCAGAGTTAGCTTGGGTCGTAGACCTTGTCACCAGGCCCAGGTCAAATATTAAAACCACGGATTTCTCTAGCCACAGATTAAATAAAGCCATGGATTGTGATATATATGTGTATATTAAGGTATATGTACTGGGGGCTGAAGAGATGGC